TTCGTTGTAAGTACTTTATGATTCGGTAAATCTATTATAGCATGCTTATCACATATCACCGTTTATATATCATGTATTCGTAATCATTGTTTTGTAGAATCACTTCTGCATCGTTATCGTAATAAAATAAACAATACGAGCATCGAGGAGTCTTTCTTCATGCAGAAGTGATTTAACCACGCCACAAAGTAAATATGGTCATAATAAGTTGCTCTGTCCCATCGTGTGACTTCAAGACAGACGATCTATCAGAACAATTGGTAATCGCCGTTCTAAAGAACCACGATCTAGCACATCGAACAAGTCAAACGACGTCCGCTGAACCAGCTCCAACGCCAAGCTTACGTGCCCCATCGCTTGATCGACCAAAAATAGATGTCGGTATATCAACTGAGGAATGGAACATTTTTGTAAGGAGATGGAATGTCTTCCGCACTGGCTCAGCCATCAGCGAGGCCACAGCACCGGCCCAGCTGTTCCAGTGCGCGGGTCCCCAATTGGGAGATAACATCCTCAAAACGAACCCAACCGCCACCTCTGGCACCTTAGAGCAGTTACTAGACACGATGCACTCCCTAGCAGTCATTCCCGTGGCKACCGGTGTATTGAGAACTGAACTACTACAGCTTCGACAAGAGCGCRACGAACCATTTCGCTCCTTTGCCGCAAGAGTCAGAGGAAAGGCAGAAACATGTGAATTCTCYTCAAAATGCGAATGTGGGAAAAACGTAGACTACACGCCTCACATGTCACGTGACGTCCTTCTAAATGGGATCGCAGACCCAGATATCCGSCGCGAGATCCTGGGGACAACAAACATAATCCAAACACCAGTGAATGAGGTGATCTCACTAGTAGAGAGCAAAGAAAAGGCCCGCAACGCGTTACCATTGTCTAGCCTATCAGCCATGTCATCCTTCCGTCGCCAACAAAACCCAYGACATGAAAGCCTGGCAGCCACACCACCACCGGTACCGTCTTCTACAGACCAGTCYAAAGAGGCTACATGTCCAGACTGCCAACAAAGGTTTAAGATATACACGGTAGGAGCAAGGGGCTGGAACACCAAGCCCCATCAGGTCTGCATCACCTGCTATCGAAAYCGTCGCYGCAACAAACGCCMACGAGGGACAACCCCAGCCTCGACCTCCGCAGTCTACGCCAGSGAAGACCCCGAACAGATCKCCCAGATAGCGGGATTCCATCAGCATCCTGCCCGCCCTACASAACCAAAGCGTYRACAAAAGAGACGGCSAAGKGCGACACACGGCTCCTCCAATAACCACGTGCCAATTGCACTCGACCATCACATCTTCTCAAAGGGTGAATGGCGACGGGCACGCCTCCGAGCTCATCCCACGATCAGCATAAGGATCAATGTCGACTCCCCAGCGACAGATACCAGCAGCAGCCAAGGTAATATGAACATACCTCAAGCGGAAGTATCAGCCGTCGCCGACACCGGAGCACAGTCAGACTTATGGTCCCTAACAGACTTCCTGGCCAGCGGATTTTCTCGAGACATGCTAACCCCCGTCAGCCTCAGCCTATCGGCAGCCAACCGTTCACCAATCCCCATAGAGGGTGCGTTCTTCGCAAAACTAACCAGCAGGAACACTACCGGAAGAGACGTGACATGCCGTTCTATGGTATATGTTAGTAGCGCAGTCAACACTATGTACCTGTCGTGTGAAACGCTATTCAACCTAGCGATCTTACCACAGGACTTCCCAACAGGCGCTTGCAGCTCTCATGTCAATTCAACAAGCCAAAACACAGACACAGGCAGCCACACCTCAGAGGACGCATGCTCATGCCCTCGAAGATCAACTGTCCCCAGCCGCCCTCAGGAACTGCCTTTCCCATGCACACCTGCAAACAACGGAAAGATGAAAGCNCCTAGTTCGGGATGATGGGCAAGTCCTTGAAAGCTAATAGCACCAAAAATAAACTTTTTAAAGAAAACAGGAAAGTATTTCGATATTCTCAATAACCTATTAGTTAAGTAAATGAAATGTTGACCAAAGGAAGTCAATCTCCAATAACRCTTTTTGAAATGTAAACAACTTATTAGAAATAACATATCCTTATTGGTGTTTAAAGATATGCTATCCTTGTTGCCTTGAAAATCTAATTTTCTAAATGCATATGAATGCAATTRACGAGTAGATATGGAATGACTTTCTTATGAAATTACAATGATCGATTGATTGATAGTACCATTAAATATGCTACCAAAGAAAACCTGGATTACTTGTTTTTCTTGATTTCGAAAAAGCCTTTGACTCGCTTGAATGGCCTTTTATTTGGAAAATTATTTAACTTTGGGACTTCTTTTATAAAATGGATCCACTTATGCTACAAAGACATTGATTGCTGTGTTATAAATAACGGATGGGCCTCTAATTTTTTCAAACCCGAAAGAGGAGTCAGACAAGGCTGCCCACTATCTCCCTATATCTTTATACTCTGTGTAAAACTATTTAGAAAAAATAAAAGAAACTATTAAAGATACTCAAATGCTGTACCAGAGTTCTGAAATTACGTCTGTCATAGCTTAACCAAACTTTGCTTGTTTTGGGCCCAGAAAAGAAAATAGACATGAAATCCATGTTGAATTTTATTGAAGCTATCAAACTAGAAAACTAGAAAAAAAAGTATTTTTACTGTATCATTGAGCTATATTATTCTACTACAACTATGTACAATGTATTACAATTACATTAAGACTTCTATTCAAGTTTTCTAAACACAAGAGAGAAAGAATCTTAAAGGCCGATTTAGACGGCACAACTTTTGCCCACAACCATCGCACGCAACCTGCGTAAGTCATCCTTACGACATGGCTACAACTGTCGTAGGGATTTTAAACAATTGCTTATTAGCCCTACGACAGTTGTAGCCATGTCGTAAGGATGACTTACGCAGGTTGCATGNCGATCAGCATAAAGATCAATGTCGACTCCCCAGCGACAGATACCAGCAGCAGCCAAGGTAATATGAACATACCTCAAGCGGAAGTATCAGCCGTCGCCGACACCGGAGCACAGTCAGACTTATGGTCCCTAACAGACTTCCTGGCCAGCGGATTTTCTCGAGACATGCTAACCCCCGTCAGCCTCAGCCTATCGGCAGCCAACCGTTCACCAATCCCCATAGAGGGTGCGTTCTTCGCAAAACTAACCAGCAGGAACACTACCGGAAGAGACGTGACATGCCGTTCTATGGTATATGTTAGTAGCGCAGTCAACACTATGTACCTGTCGTGTGAAACGCTATTCAACCTAGCGATCTTACCACAGGACTTCCCAACAGGCGCTTGCAGCTCTCATGTCAATTCAACAAGCCAAAACACAGACACAGGCAGCCACACCTCAGAGGACGCATGCTCATGCCCTCGAAGATCAACTGTCCCCAGCCGCCCTCAGGAACTGCCTTTCCCATGCACACCTGCAAACAACGGAAAGATGAAAGCATGGCTCCTGGACAGATATGCCTCATCCACTTTCAACACATGCCCGCATCAAACCCTGCCATGTATGGAGGGACCAGAAATAGAGATCCACGTTGACCCCAGCGCAACTCCAAAGGCCTGTCACACTGCAGCTACCATACCCATGCACTGGCAGCAACAGGTGTACAACGACCTCGTTCGCGACGAAGCTCTCGGTGTTATCGAAAGAGTGCCATATGGCGAACCTGTCACATGGTGCCACAGGATGGTAATACAAAGAAAACATGATGGTTCACCTCGCCGCACTGTCGACCTGTCACCACTGAATAAATTCTGCCAACGTGAAACCTTTGCCACCGAATCGCCATTCCACCTTGCACGCCGGGTACCCAAAGACAGTTGGAAAACGGTCACCGATGCCTGGAATGGCTACCACAGTGTCCCTCTACGGCAATCTGACCGCCATCTAACAACGTTCATCACACCCTTTGGGCGCTGGCGCTACACAAGAGCACCACAGGGGTTCCTCTCCTCTGGTGACGGATACAACCGCCGCTTCGATGCCATCCTCTCAAGCTTCGATCGCAAGGAACGCTGTGTTGATGACTTGATACACTACGATGATACACTGGAACAGCACTGGTGGAGGACAATCGACCTGCTGTCACACCTGGGCCAAGCCGGAGTCGTATTGAACTCAGAAAAGTTCCAATTTGCCAGCAAATGCGTTGACTTTGCAGGCTTCAGGATCTCTGACTCTACAATCGAACCGCTACCAAAGTACCTAGACGCCATTCGGGACTTCCCCTCACCCTCTTCTACAACAGACATCAGAAGTTGGTTTGGCCTCGTGAACCAGGTAGCAAATTACGCACAACTGCGCGACACAATGTCCCCATTCAAGCCATTTCTCAGCCCTCGGTGCAAGTTCTCATGGTCTGCAGAACTTGAAAACGCATTCCAAGAATCTAAACAAGCCATTGTCAATGCCATCCGCCACGGGGTCGAGATATTCGACATCCAGCGTCGAACATGCCTCCGCCCTGACTGGTCAAAACGTGGCATTGGGTATTTCTTACTCCAGCAACACTGCGACTGCCCSTCAGGAATACCCGACTGCTGCCCAGGAGGGTGGAGGATCACCTTAGCGGGCTCACGCTTCCTCTCYCCTGCAGAGCAACGCTATGCAGCCATCGAAGGTGAAGCACTCGCCGTCGCTTGGGGCCTCGAGCAGACCCGCTACTTTACACAAGGATGTGACAACCTCGTAGTAGTAACTGACCACAGGCCACTCACCAAAATCCTTGGCGACCGCACGCTCGATGAGATATCTAACTCACGACTCTTCCGACTCAAACAGCGAACGCTTCCATGGCGCTTTGACATCATGCACCTACCAGGCAAGCTAAACTACGCAGCTGACGCCACCTCACGACACCCATCGYCATCAGAGTCATACAGCTCACCAGACAAGCAGGAGGCGGCGTTGATGGCCTCAATCCGCAGYGAAGCCACACAACTCGGCATGATCTCCTGGGCGCACATAGCACAACAAACGGCCAACGACTCGACACTCAGCCGCCTGYTAAACAYCATCGAGCAGGGTCAACAAGCGTCCTATCAAACCGATCCCGAGCTTGCAGCCTTCTGGCCACTACGCGAGTCCCTTTATGTGGAACATGGTGCTGTCATGTACCAGGACCGGGTTGTAATCCCAACATCCCTTCGCCCAAATGTCTTACAGCACCTCCACGCAGCCCACCAGGGAACCTCAACAATGGAACAACGTGCGCGCATGATCGTCTACTGGCCTGGTATGACAAAAGACATACGGTCTACCAGGGACAGATGCGTCGATTGTAACAGAAACGCGCCATCACAGACGTCACCACCGCCGATACCATCACCACCACCCTCAACCCCATTCGAAGCAGTGTTCGCAGACTTCTTTACACACGGAGGACAACACTACCTCGTGGTGGGAGATCGTCTATCAGGCTGGGTTGAGATATTCGGTTCCCCGTCCAGCACCAACCTAGCAGGGGCCAATGGCTTGATCCGCCATCTGCGGTCATTCTTCGCCACCTTTGGGGTACCAGAAGAAATTTCTAGTGATGGGGGTCCAGAGTTTACAGCTGCCTGCACGGAAGCCTTCCTACGCCACTGGGGAATACAGCACCGCCTTTCATCTGCACACTTCCCACAGTCCAACGGCAGAGCGGAAGTAGCCGTTAAGACTGCAAAACGCCTCCTAATGTCAAATACAGGGCCGTCAGGGAACTTAAACCATGACAGTTTCCTGCAGGCCATGCTACAGCTGCGGAATACGCCCGACCCAGACTGCAACCTCTCACCATCAGAAATCGTATTTGGACGTCCACTTCGCGACACCCTATCCTTCGCCAACAGATTGGAGAAGTACTCTAATCCTAATGTTCGGCCACTCTGGCGCGAAGCATGGACAGCAAAGGAGGAGGCCCTCCGCACCAGGATGTCACGATCTACGGAATGTCTCAAAGCACACACTCGGCCTCTGCGTCCACTATCGGTCGGCGACAAAGTCTTCCTACAGAACCAACAAGGGCCTCACCCAACCAAATGGGACCGCTCTGGCACAATAGTAGAGACAAGGACACATGACCAGTACGTAGTAAAGGTGGATGGTTCAGGACGATTAACGCTACGAAACCGTCGATTCCTTCGTGTATACACGCCTGTAACACCACGAATTGAAACAGATCCATTACCACAAAGACAACAAGACAANTGGGCAAAAGTTGTGCCGTCTAAATCGGCCTTAACAAGAAATTGTTATGTCCTCTCATTTGTACAAATTTAGCTTTACTGAAACTGAAAATTTGTTATCACTTACAAAATGTCAAAAACTACCATACAAATGTATAAAATGTACATTTTGATATAAGCTGATGTTTTTACAAAAGAATATGTAAGGAATTGTAGAAAACTAAGAAATGATGAATAAATACTTTGATGTGAAAAAATAAATAAAATAAAATAATTTTTCAGACAAAATACAATACTAAAATGGGCCTAATTACGAATTAATTAACAACACCTTGGTAAAGATGACACACTACAGGAACGCCAACCAGGTGGTGGAACGGCATAGAAAGGAKGCCCTGGAATGTCTCCCAGATCATCATAATAGGAATCATCAACGACAGGACCAAAATCATAAAATTCGTGATCCTCTCTATCCCATGCAGAATGCTCAGGCATAAAAACATAGTGCCTAAAGCCAAATGGAATTGGCGGACGAAACGGCTCGTCCACATTATACGGCGCCAGTTTCTGGTTGCAAAAGGGRCATTTAAAACGGTTCTTGGCTTCGGGGGATTTGTGAAAGCATTCKTTCAAACACTCCTCATGTATGAACGCGTTCCCATCTCGCAACACGGCAATTGAACAGTTGGGACCTGAGGCTTGTGGTCGAAGCAGACTTTGCAGAGTCGACGCTGATGCTCAGCAGCACGGCGACGACCTCGTTCCTGACTGCGTAAAGAACGAGACTTCCCGCTTGTATTAGAAGTAGCCATTTATGAATAAAGATAGCCCTGAGTTAAGACGGAATCCAATCCTATCTCCAGGAATCCAATCCAATCCAATCCAATCTCCAGTCACATAATTTAACATGCGCACTCAAGTTCACAAGCACTCACACACACACAAAAAAAACGGAAGTCAACCTCGGATCTGAGTGGATGACCGACATAGACCACAAGGGGACTTAAGAGAATTTTCCTAGAGACTGAGCAGATGGCCAACAGAGACCTCCAGGATGTTAAGAGAATTTGCCTAGGGACTGAGC